AAAAAAAAGGATAAAGAAATTAGTTAATCAAAAAGTAAGCTCTTTTGCTGAGTCTCACTGTGTTGGACTGTTGCCACAGAGATGTCTATATGTCTACATAAAGTGGATATTTTATAGCACAAGTTGCACAAGAGTGTTAGAAAATGTACGTTTGTGGAAGGACATAGTATGGACAGAAACAGAAGAAACATGGTACCACACTTTGTCCTTCAGCAAAGCTGTTTAGAGTGAAACTTACAACATCACAGCTGTACTAAACAGCTGATACTATTCAGCTCCTGCATGAAGAGTGGGCAGTACAATGAAAGCGCAGAGGGAGAATAGGAATAGGAGAAGCGTAGGAGAGAAGCTCCCACAGTAAGGACCATTATGCACATGTATTCATCACAGAGAAGGAAACGAGATTCATTTTCTGTGCCAAATTCAATAAATGTGCAGTGGCTTCTCATATAGAGAGACTAACAAGTTTATCGCTATATTGACAGAAAGTACAAGGTCAAATGAAGTATTAACACGGCACAGGAGGGGATGTCGACAGTACGCTCTAAAGCTAAAGTGGTTCTGCACTGTTGCTTCTCTCTCCCTCCCAGCTGACATACCTGCCTCCGCCATGGGGGGACTGCAAGGCCACGCCGATGGACTCAGACTTCTTTAGCACTTACAGCATCACGGCCTGCCGAATCGACTGTGAGACACGATACCTGGTGGAGAACTGCAATTGCAGGATGGTTCACATGCCTGGTAGGAACCAGAATGGCATCTCATTGATACAAATACCATATATCTACATTTACTTATAAAGATGTAGATGTTATAGTGTCTGTTGTCGTGGTTGGAAGTGCTTTCATTTGAAATCATGGTGACAAAAACGATCCTGGAGGAACAAACTGCTTTTTGCGAGCGACTGCAGAAAATCAGATACTTTCACAGTCCAGTGAATCGGAAAACTCAACTATTTTCACTTTGTGTTTGTGCAGTGATTACAGCTGGCATTTGCTGTCTACCTCCTGCATTTAATCACTGTGTGGCATCTCAGACGGCAAATTGAAAAGGAGTTTGGCACAGAGGAAACATTTGGATTTGGCCTCTGTTAACCCGCACTCACCTGTCCAATAATTGTTAATGTCTTTCTCTCAATCAGGGTCACTTTCAGATCTGTGTTTGCATATTAAGAGCCAGACAATCTGTCTATGTGATAATCAGGATTAGCTGCTATCTTATAGTGATTGTGCAGTTGATTAATGTGAGGCTACAGAGAACTCCCCAGTTAAAATCCTCCGCCCTGCGAATTGTTCTCTGCTGCTATTCATCTCTCCTATCTCCCTGTCATTAGAGTGATTTTTTTTTTAAAAGAGTATGAACCAAAATGCAGTGAATAATTGCAGCTGGGAAATCATTTCCTCTACATCTAGGACATGTCTTTTTTTTTTTCCCTGAGAGAGAGAAAGGGGTGGCTCGACTGCCAGGCAGAGCAAGATGGAGAGGGTGCTGGAGACACGGGTGACAGAGACTGAAAGTGACGATGAGAGGCAGCGAAAGTTACAAAAGTTTATGAAATCAATTACGAGATGAGATCAGATTTGCAAAGAATATCCAGTCGCGATAAGGACGGTAATGACAGCCTGAGACAAAATTAATTATAAGCCCAGATCTTCGTCATCCTTTGTGCTCCCTTCTTTTTTGTTCAGACTGAGAACATTGTGTTTCTTCTGCCTGTCCTTAGGAGATGCCCCATACTGCACCCCGGAGCAGTACAAGGAGTGTGCAGATCCTGCCTTGGGTAAGGAGATAACCCAGCATGCTGTGTGTGTGTGTGCATTCATGTGTGTGTATACACTGTTCAATGTGTATATCCCACTGTTCAGAGCCCCTGATCCAAGCTGATAACAGATAATAGTGTTCCTTCAGCCTGATGGTAGCCATTCTCAAATAGTAAACCTCAGGCCGGGCGCTGAGGCTCTCCTTTTCACACTCCCCTGTCTCTCCATCAACTGATACCTTTCAGGCCTTTCATGTCTGTTGCTTGTTTTTTTATTGACTTGCAATCTCTTGCTCTTTCATGACACAGCCTCACGTGTAGGCCTCTGGCTGCTGCTGTCTCGCTGACTCTGTCGGCGTCTGTCTTATATCTTTTGTGTTTCTTAGAAGGGTCTCTGGGGTGTCTCCTCACGGCTTCTTTTCATACGTTTTCTTTGACGCGTTTCACTCTGCTGGCATTTTGTTTGTCATCCCAGGGTGACATAATATCTATTTGTCCCTGTGTCTTCTTTCTTTTAATCTCTCTATCTTCCCCCTCTCTCTCTCTCTCTCTCTTTCTGCCGACTTTATTTTTTAGACTTTCTTGTCGAGAGAGACAATGACTACTGTGTGTGCGAGACGCCATGCAACTTGACGCGCTATGGTAAAGAGATGTCCTTTGTCAAGATACCCAGCAAAGCATCAGCCAAGTACCTTGCCAAGAAATTCAACAAAACAGAGCAGTACATAGCGTAAGTCACATTCTCATGTCTTATTGGATTTTTGAACACTGCTTCAATGTTTATTCAGTTTTACACATTAACACCTTGGTGCTGTTCAGTGTAACCCTGGTTGTGCTGCTAGCTGCTAAGCTCCTAAACATAAAGCAGAACATTATACTTGTTAATGTCATCCATCTGTTATTTAAGTGCATTTAAGCAGATTTCGTTTGCTTTTTCATACATTTGCACAAATTAATATCAGACATTGAGGTCTTGATTTCAGCCATATTCAACAACTACTTTCAGTCTCTTTTAACTTTTGCTCTTGGTTCTACATGTTTTAACAACTTCCAGTGAAAAGGAATAATTTATTTCTTCCAGAGAAATTATTAGAAAAAGCTGATTTCTCCAGGCCTGAGTGAAAAAAAGGTTGCACTTCAAAGACGTTGTGGCTCCATTGTATTATGAGCTAATGCTCCACTGTACTGCCATACACTGCTGACAAATCTCAAGTGTAGCTAGTTGTGAAAAACTTCAGACCACCATTAAAAAACCATTAAAGCTGCAGCAGAAATATCTCGATACAAGGTTGTGTCATCTGTGTTAGTTAACGTGTTAACAGTGGGAATAGGAAAAAATAATACCACCAAGTTAGATTCCCTTCACCTTTTCCATATAACCAAATTTAAGTGTTGAATTTAAGTGTTGATTAAGTGAGTTTAACTTGATTAATCAGCCAATATTACATGTGTCTTTGCCAAAACTACTGAAAAGATCAAAAGTAGTTCAAGGAAATGAGGAGAGGGTGCAATAATAGTTGAATCTTTTATCTATCATTCCCAGGGGCACTGTTGAGGACAAGATAATTACACCATATGTAGTCAGAGTGCTGCAAAAACCTTTCACTTCTCCCTTCAGAAATGCTTTTTTAATTCCCTGTGGATAGATGTGAGCCCATCCAGTTATTTTTTTGACTGGCCATATTTTCAAGCAATGTCAGTCTGATGAACATTAGCTGGTAGTGTTCTGGTATCTGAGCTGCATGGCGTTTACTGGTGTGAAACTGAAGTCTGTGACAGTGGACTGTCTTTCAAGTGGAAACCACAAACACACAGGAAGACACACAGCTTCATTGGTTGTTTGACAGCAGCACGGATCAGATGTATTCCAGGTTACTCACCAAGCAATGAGGACGCTTGACAGCAAGGAAGCATAATTCAAGCTGCAGACTGACACCTCGCACAGGTGGGCCTACAAATCAGTAGCAAACATCTAGGAATGTCAGTAATAAGATAAAAAACACCTAGATCAGGGATTCACAACCAGGGGTACTAGTACCCCATGGGGGTAACTACTTCTGTAGCTGCTAGGGGGTACATGGAAAGATTATAGAGAAGCTAAACACATTAAAAAATTAGAAACTGCAGTTTGATTTAAAAAAATATATCCTAACCTAAATACGATGTGTGAATGCAAGCAGGGAAGTCTAAATGGTTAGTTTAAAAGTATAAGATGGATAGATGAAATAGATAGCGAAACAAAAATAAATATTTAGCTAAAGTAACAGTACAGTTCAAACATTGAGCTAAACATAATGAAGAAATGGTTAAAATGCTGTAGTTATTAAAGCAAGAGATCCCTTGATACAGTAGTAAATTGTCTCCATGACATTCGAGGAACTGCACTTTTTGTTACTTCGGTGTGGGCTTCATTTGCCAGCCACGTAGGTTGCTACTTGATGAACAGCCTAAAGAATATGGATGAATGGTTTAATAATTAGCTAAAACTAGATAAACACTTTAAAAAGAAACAGATGAACAAAAGTAGTTCTTAACCTTATTATTGTATCCACTTTTATATAATTCATAGTGTTAAATAAAATCCAGTTTTACATTCATTCAAACCAACACATTTATAACATTTAATGCAGATGCAACAGATGTAATTAGAATTAATGAAGGCTGCATTCCATTTAGCTGAGCGAAATCCAGGGTCTTGGTATTCTACCTGCTGCCTCACTGGAATGGCTTCCTGCTGCACTTAATTAAACAAAGCCATCGTTAATTTATGTTGTTCCACCTGTGCTTTTCCTGCAGTAATAAGTCAAAATGTCTGCTCTGGAAAAAGGTCTGTGAAAGGGTGCTTGAGCTTGTCTGACACGGTTGTGGGTGTATGTCTGACAATAAAGCCGCTAACTGAAATTACCAGGTGGGGAGTTAAGTTGTATAATGATTGTTTTTCATCGTGTTTACAATTTACGTTTTATGTGCTTTTAATAAAGTTAGTGCAGTGAAACTGCAGGAGCTGGAAGTATATCTCCCGCGCATGAAACGAGCAGCTGTTGTATTAGTACATCTCCGTCTCTGCATTATCAGCTGTAATTTGCATTTAGTGGTTTCAACTCAGCCATTGCCTTTACCAGTTCCTTTTAAGACAGATTATCACTCGTCTGACTGAAATTTAAGTAATAAAACAGTGCACCAAGTACGAAAAAAAAAGAAACTACAAAGCCGACTTACGGTTTTGATCTCAACTCCAGTGGGGCGTGAAGTCTGATTCGTCCCACAGAGAGGATATTCAGGAATCAAAATAATAGTCTGCCGTGCCCTGGGCCTTTAAACTAATCCCCATTCTTTTGCTTTCTGCTGAGGTCAAGAATTTTAGACATTAACACAGTATGAAATCAAACAGCTGTCATCATTTCCCTTGTTTTCCTCAATGACCAGACCCACCTAGGGGGGAAATGAGTCGGCAGGTTATTTGCTCAACTTGATGCATCTGCCCTGTTATCTGCAGGAAGTGGCAGACTCACCAGTCATCTGCCCTGCCTGAGGACACTGATAAAAAATATATAAAATAGAAAATGACACATTTGAGTATGTGACTTAAGACCACGTGCTTCTCTCTCTGTTTACAGTGATAACATTCTGGTCTTGGATATCTACTTTGAAGCGCTGAACTACGAAACCATTGAACAAAAGAAAGCCTACGAATTGGCAGGCCTTCTGGGTAAGGAAATGGCTGTCAAGTGCTTTTCTTTGGAACACATAATATGCAATATGCAATATGACAGGTGCTTTTTATCCAAAGTGACAGTAACACAAGTGCTTGCATTTTTATAATAGGTGTTCAGGTCCCAGAAGACACAAAACTGTCTCTTTAATCTATTTTGGCTTTTCAACTACATTTTTTTGCAAACATCTGTGTTTTCTGTTATCTCACCTCTGTGACATTAATAGAGATAAAAAAAAGTATGTTTCAAAGCTGATCTCTGTTTCATGTGAATGCACAGAGATGACTTCCCTTCTCCGTTTTGTATTGAGGTATAATTTGGGCTTTCTTACTTTCCTTTCCAGGTGATATTGGAGGTCAGATGGGTCTCTTCATCGGAGCCAGCATTCTCACTATTCTCGAACTCTTTGACTATCTATATGAGGTAAAATATCTCCTATCATCACTGGGAGCCTCCCACTTAGATAAAACATCTAGTGCAATGTATTATTTATGCAAACGTGCATGCAAAAGTGTACTGCTCCAGTAATATTGAATTACGTGATGGAGTTTTTCACACAATGTTACAATTCGCACAAGGACGTGTTTCAACGAGCGTGACGAACGCTCTGTCCCTCACAACCCTCCAGCCTATCTCTGTGCGACACACACACACACACATCGCAGCGAAAGCAACGCTGAATACATTAACATTTTGGATGTATTATATTTTAGATTAGTCAGGATGTCTCTGTCCGTTCTCATTAGAGTAACTCTGTGTTCCATGCTTCCTCTATGCCTTCCCTTCTACCATCAATGCAGAGAGACTTTTTGTGTGTCTCTTAGTCCTTGATTTTAGGTGTGTGTGTGTGTGTGTGTGTGTGTGTGTGTGTGGGAAACGGATAAAGTGAAAGCAGCACCTGCTCATGTGCAAGATCGATAGGGAAACATATTTATAGATACATAAAATCAATGTCATTTGAATTTCAGTTTTCCTGATCCTTCAAAGTCCAAAGCGCGTGGGTTTGAACTAAACTATGTACAGAAAAAAAAAAAAGGAGGGAGTTTTTTTTTTCTGAATATTGTGTTTTGATCCCAAAAGGTCAGTAATGGGTTTCTTCGCCTATTTGCAGGTGATCAAGTACAAGCTGTGCCGATGCGTGAAGAAGAAACACAAAGGCCGCAACAACAATGACCGGGGAGCTGTGCTGAGCCTGGATGATGTGAAACGCCATGTCAGTAGTCTGCTGCTAAGTACTTTCATTGTGTCAGTCTGCATTGCTTTGACAGGAGCACTCTCTTCTTTGTCTTCACTGTCTCAACCGCAGCCAGAGTGGTGGTGGTGGTGGGGAAGAATAAACAAGAGAGTGAAGAGATAAAGACGGAGGAAGCTAGAGAGGGAAAGACTTGAGAGCTAGAAAGGGAGCGAAAAAAAGTGATTGGGATGAGAGGGAGAGAAAATTGAGAGAGAGAGAGAAGTAGGAGAGCGGAAAGTGGCTTGAATTTAATCAAAGCTGGGGGACAGGACCAGCAGGGACAGGCCGGAATTAGAGCTTTGGAAGGTGTGACAGCTCACTTATTTCCAAGTGTAAATGAAGCCAGTGCACTGTAATTGTAAGTCTGCGCCAAGGCGGAGAAAAAGGGTAAAGATGTGCTCCTCCTCTGATCTGCTCTGCTGACTTACTTGGTAGTCTTTCCATCCACCTTCATTATTTTCATCATTTTTTAGTATTTCTTAGGAAACTATTTCTTCTCACCTCCTGGCCCAGCTTGATGCCCGTGCCATGTTTTTCTGAGAGCATGTTTATGACTTTAAGGTATTCTCAAATGCGTTTTTATTTTCTGTTTTATTCTGGGTTTGATGACTCCCGCTCTGTGCGTTTGCCCTCCTTCTATCTGAATACTTTCTCTCCTCCTGATCATTTCTCTCCTGTCTTTATCCTCCTCACTACTTTATCTCACTTGCCTCTTTGATTTCTCTCTCTCTCTGTCTCCTTATTTCTTTCTCAGGCTCCTTGCGAGAACCTGCGTACACCATCAACATATCCTGGCAACATGCTACCTCATCACCCGGGCCAGGCCAACTTTGAAGACTTCACTTGCTGAGCAGACCCGGGTGGAGCATCAAAGTGTGTGTTATGCAACCAAAGCCAACCATACAACAAGAACTATCCAACACTGGGAGTGTGAGGAACTGATACGAATCTAACAGAGGCACTTTTTACATAGAAACGGAGTAAAAGCAGACCAATCAAACACGACAAACGCCTCAGGTGAAAGTTCTTTCACCTGAGGCAAAATGGAGAGGATATCCCAAATATTAAAATATCTGATAATTTTCCAGAGAACATTTCATGCAGCACTCTAAGCTCTTCTATCTCTGTGTTTTCCTCTGGAATACTGCCGCAAAGGATGCTCATGGAGAAACCTTGCCAACACGGACCTCTCTTTCAAAAGACAAAAAAAAAAAGTAAAAATAAACAAGGAAAATGTACAGTTATCTCACCATAGACAGCAGATCAGAAAAAAAGAGCCCCCATGCCTTTATATAACACAGCAACACACGATGGTTTCACACAACACCGGCCTGCTAGTGGGACAA